GAGCATCCTTTGACATCCACTTAACATGTGAGAAGTTTAGGGGAGGCTGTAGGAGATGATGTTGCCCCTTCACCACAAGGCTCGGCAGCTGGGCTCCCATAGGAGGCTTCTCTCTCTACAGTCCCAAGTGCCACCATGCAGGTCAGCCACTAGTTTCACAGCCCAATAGGAAACAGACTGGTCCCAGTGTGACCTGGAAAGTCACCCCCGACGTCTTGCAGAGGCACCTATGTCCCTGTTCCGGATCTCATCCTAATTACCACCCCTGGCAGCTACTGGCAGTGAGGTATTTGGACAGATCAGGGTGAAGTTTATAGACCCCAAACAGAAGTGTCCAGACAATGCCCAGGTCCCTGTTTTAACCCCTCAATAAACCCTGGAACTGACTCAACAAGTGAAATGTTCAGAAAGTGTTAGATGGAAAATAATCTGTCTACAAGGCTGGGGGATCTCATCTACACCCTGGCTATCTCTTCACATAGAGCATTTGTCTTCTCACTAACCTTTTTATTTTTTTCCTCTTCATGCTGTGAAATGTTCATTGTCTCCCGCTAAGGAAAGTTTGATAAGGATCTTGCTGAGAGTGGCTTTTAGGAAAACCCATTGCTCCAAAAAGGAACCAACCATTGTAGAGCCAGCACTTCAAAGTTATAGCATTATCTTGTTTTTTTATACCAAATAAATAAATAAAATGAAGATGAACAATGTGTTTCCATTTAAGGAGGAGTGTGGGAAAAAACAGGTCTCATCAGACTGGGAAATGGAGTGGTATATGCTGACTAAGAGACTGGAAATAGCACGGCTGTCAACTGGAGGACTTCGGGGTTGAATAATCACGTCAAGCAGGCAACGTCAGATGGGAACCGTGGCCCCAAACCTGTTCATTTGAACTCATCAGGATTCACATGAGAAAACACACATTGACTCCACATGTTGCTTGTGGTTTCAGTGGAAGATCAGGGCTGGACCATCCCTGCTGTCAAGCCAGCAGGAGCATGCACTCTCCTAGATACCCAGTGTAGAACCACGTTTCCAGCACAGGAGATCATGCAGGTTGTATGTGCCACATTACGTTGCTGGTGACAGACCTTCCAAAACTTCCTTGTCTTCATACAGCTCTGAGTGGGAGCTCACTGCCTTACTCTTCAACCTAACCTTTCCTGAAGCACTTTTTTTGTATTTGGGACCAAGGTCCTGGATGATAGAGGGACTACTTTGCCTTCACAAAGACATTTTCTGCTCTTCGCCTGGCACTGCTGACATGTGCCCAGCTTCAGCTGGATGTCTCCTCAGGTCCAAGAAAATTGCAGTTTTTTTCCAGCATGACCCATTGTCAGGATGGCAGCTGTTCCCCCTTCTATCATTTATGCTCCAAGGTGGGGGTAGTCCAGCTGCAGGGAATTTGTGTCCTGTTTCCATCCTGCACTGGCAGTGCCTCAGTTCAATCCAACCATCAGGGATAGTACAAGTGTCCTTCAATGTTTTCTTTTATGGATAATTACCCTTTTTCATTTTTTTATTAGCTGTTGAGGAAGGGAGAAAAGAGCAAGAGAGATCCCATCCTTTGGTGCTGTGGGACTTGGTGCTGTTTTAATAATAACAAAATATTGGAAAGGGAAAAAAAATTGCAGTATATCAGCATGTTTTTAAGGTTGGTGGGAAAAAAAAGACCTCTAGTCCCAGTGGTATCAACGAAGAAAACGTCCATTGGATTCTAGTTCTTAAAAAAAATCTGAGTCATGCAGAAAGTGCTGGGCTTGGGTTATGTGTGGTTACTGGAGTGCTCAGGGAGGGGGAAGGGAAGCACATGCCAAGACCAGAGCTTCATCACAGCCTTAGGAAAATTAACAGGTCTGTGAAGATATGTTTTCTAAGAAGGGGAAGTGCTGCATGCCCAGGGAGAGAGGGAAAAAAAGTGAGAGGAGAAGAAGGGATGTTTTGCTTCCATCTCACTCCAAACTTGCTAAATTCAGCCCTGCGTTTGCTGAAGAGAAGAACTAGAAATCCCACTCCACCTAGCAAGATAATTTTCCCCAAAATTGTCAAAGTCTGGAAAATGGGTGTCTGCACTGCAGGAATTTTTCTGAATAGCAGATGGCAGTTGCAACTTTATTCCCTTTTCCACTATTTCATGGATATTTACATGAGTCCTACAATCTGTACTCATAAGAAATCCTGCTTTCTAAAGGCAGGATCAGGCAGAGACCCTCCTTACCTGCAGGGAGAATGTGCTAAGTACGTATACATTCATATACACATACTCAAGCGTGAGCAAAGGGCAGCACCACAACAGAGAGCTCAGAGCACCACACAGTCACTTTGCTGTGGATTCAGATATTTCACTTTTTTTCCACAAAGAAGCTTTCTTTGAAGGTAGAGAAAAACACAGAGAGACACAGCAGGGGAGGAGGGATCTGTCTGTGCTGCTGGTTCGACTGGATTCTGGTAGATCCTCGCTGTGGATTGTGTGTTGTTCTCTTGCCATCGCTCTACCAGCAGAAGGCTCTGTCTCTCCCCTCTCTGGCTGATATGACAGCAATGACAGGAGCAATTTCTCCTCTCGGGGTGCTATGGAGAAACCACCAACTACCTCATTTCAGGGAGCTGAGCCCAGAGCAGCCTGCCAGGTCCTTCCAGCCTTTCCAGATGGCATTTTTTTTCTGACTATGGTTTTGCATCCACAATAATGTTGCTTTTGGTTTGATGGTTAAATGAAAACATGGATTCCCCCATAGTTTTATGATTTAGGAGCTCACTCTTCAGGTTCAGGCTTACTGATGGTGGCTTAATCCACACTCATCTACACGTGAACAGGGATTTCTCTTGCTTCTTTACCAAAACCATCAAATTTTTCAGGTTTGCAGTAAAACAAAAATGCCCTTTTAAAATCCTATTGAAAGACAAACCTTTTATTTTTATCAACAGCTCCCAAGAACTTACGTTTTCTCAATAGCTCCATAGACAGGATATGTGAGTGAGAAAGATATGGGTTTTAGTCACTGTCCTTCAGCCAGGCCAGGTGGAAGGAAGATGTTTTTTCTGTGGCTTAAATAAAGGTCTTATTTCCAAAAGGAGCTGGTGATCGCGGCTGCTTAACTAGAGGCAACCCAATAGGATCCATCATCAAGGGACTGGATCCTCCAACTTTCTGAAACATTGGACTTTCAGGGCATGACAAAATTAACAACCCCAAAAGGAACCAGACAGAATCACAATCCCCTTAAAAACAAACAAACAAACCCAAATAAATGGGTGAGTTTTTCCCTGTCCATCCACATGCAGGCCTAGGAAGGAGTCCCTCGAGGTCCAGATCCAACTTTACAACTCCCAGAATGTACACAACTAGAATATCATGTTGGAATCATCTCTCCAAACATGCTGCAAATCCCTTCACAAAAAGAAACACTTCATAATCCTTCTATTCATGACTGTCCCTCCAAATTGAAACATGCATTTAAAAAAATAAATAGGGCAGGGGTGATGTGCGGGAACAGCTTGCTGCTTTTGCTTTTTTTATTTTTTTTAATCAATAAAACAGCCTTAAAGAGGCCCCCTTGAAAGAGTTCTGTTCATTTATTTTTCTTGGAAACTTCCAGTCTCCTTAACTCCTTTTAGTCACATAAGAGGTGAATGATTAAGTTGAAACTATTATCTTTGCAAAGAACATCTCTGCTGGCCAAGAGGAGAGGAAAAGTGAAATGAAATAAACCAACCGGAGCTATTGTGTCCCTGACGGGTCCCTGTGGTGAGGTGCTGGGAAGCTTGGAGAAGTTAAAAGGAGGTCCCTGGGTGGAGACTGTTAATGAGGCAGGGCACATTTTGGAAGAAATTTTTTTCTGGTCAGAAATATGAGCATTTGAATAACTTTACATGAGATGAAGTCAGCCCTTGTATTAACAGGTGCCACTCGGAGCTGCAGCATGCTGGTGGCCACTCCTGCCAGCTCTGGCTACCAACTTCCATTCCTCAGCCATCCCTCCAGAACAGGAAAGCAAAACCTCTGCCAGTGAAGGGTAGGAAATAAACTAAGCTTTGCCATGTCCTAATTCACATGGAGGCATAATGTCCACTACTCCCTCTGCTGTCTCTGAATGGCTGTAGTACTCGGGGCCGTGGGCAGGGACAGGGACCCTGCAGTGCTGGGCAGCAGCAAGGCAAAGAGCAGCCATGCTCTCTGCTCGCTGGGACACGCACTGCTGCGGGCTCACACATGACATGTGTACCTATTGTACCAGACACATACCTGGCTCTGCCACCAGCTGGTGGTCGGTCAGTCAGTAATAGCCTGTGCATCCAGTTTCCAGCTGACACCTGACCCTTGGGCAGACATTGCCAGGTGAGTTTGGGAAGAATTAAAGTCTTGTGCATGAAGAGATGAGCATCCTCAAGGTCTGACTACTGGGGCAACAACAGCTGTGTTTACTGCTCTCTCTGATACTCCAAGGCTGGTGTGTAGCTGAAGGTCAGCATCGAAGCACTGCTGCATTGGCATCAGGGAACCTCAGGGATACATCCAGTTGTTGGTGCAGGAAGATACAAGGTCTTGGGCTGCAGCTGTCTGGGGGGACAGTTCACAGCCCCAGGTGACTCACTGATACAAGACTGCTCGGGTGAGGGGCTGTGCCAGGGGACCAGCGGTCTTTCAGACTGCTGGCCTCAACACGGACATAGAGAGAGATCAAACTCCATGGCTCACTGGGCTCATCCTTACAAAACACCAAGACAAGTGAGCATCTAGAGAGCTTACAAACACTTTGCTACAGCTCCATCTGATGCAGCAGAAATCACATGATATCCTGAAAATGAGGTGATTTAAAAGACCTAAATAGTTAAATTCAGCTTTACTTTAGGTCTTTAGGCTATGGAATTAACTTGTCTTGAAAAGAAACATGAGATTGAAAATACTTACTGATTTATTACTCCAAAGGAATTACAAGCAACACTTCAATATCTTGCTCAGGACAGAGACATCAGTAAGTCAGTGGACAGAGTGGTGGGATGCACATATTGAAGCTGCTCTGAGAATTTCTCTTACTGACTAATTTAATTTGAAAAAATGATTGGTAAGGTATTGCAAATTGTCCCTGGACCTGTCTGAGCCAAGGAGAAGCTTGAAAGTACCACCATAGGCCCATGTGTCTCGTGTACCAGTTGACTTTTGCTTTGGAATCACCCCGTTGGATTAGTTAAAAAAAAATGCAAAAAATGGCCAGAAGTAACATTTACGTCACAAGTCACATCTGCTTCTGTAATTACTTTCCTGTCGGCTGTTTTCAGCAGAGAAGGAAACCTGACAGAACTGGTATCCAACAATGGATTACAATTCGCTCCTTGAAATCTCCAAGTTTTCTGAAGGGGGGAAGGCCATGGCGCACAGCTGATCCTCAGCGTGTTGCCGTGAGGACAACAGAAAAATCAAATGCTTGGCTTTGACGGTGTGTTTACAGATCACTCTCCAGGAAAGGAAAACTTGAAAAATCTCCCCTGTGAACTTCCTACGTGCGTACGTAGCCCCACACAGCAAAACAATGCCAAAGTCACCTGCCAGGCTGAGCTGCTGGAGGAGAGGAAAACTCATGAGAACCTAATGGTGCCGGCTCATTGAGGCTTAATCTTCAAGCCACATGCAATCAAAAGACAAACAGTCCAGCAGTAATAGTGGTGATAGCACATGTGTGCAGAACAATAGCACAGCAGCCAGGACAAGCTGTTTAAATGTGGGTCACTTAGAAAAGAGCAGAAAATCTGGCAGACTACAGAGAAAAAACCCATTAGCTTAATGCAAGTCATTTCCAAAGAAAACATGCAATATGCACAAAATATCTGGTAGGTGAGAAAGGGTGGATTCTCTGCAAGAGCAAAAATGGAGGATGAAGCTATAACTCTTTGTAATATAAGCCTTAGCTTGGATGAGCTAGTGGGTAACTTCCTTTGTCTTCTCCAGAACAGAAGGAACAAGAGGGAGCATCTGTTCACCAGAGCCAGGATTTCTTTGCTTGGATTTGAGACCTTGATAGGTAAATTCTGAAGAATTTCAGCACTAAGGCACATAAAGTCCTTATTTCATTACTGCTGCTGCATATTCTGACAGTAGTGTCATCTTTCCAGCCTGGATGCCCTCCTGGTGCTGGCTACAGCAGCACATTTGGACAGGAGATGCTCTGTGGAGATGTCCCAAGCAGGGCCAAGCTCACCCTGGGTGCGTTCAGCCCCTCACCTCACTGCCACCACAGCAGTAATGTACCTCTGCACACTTGGAAAAGGTTTCTTTTCCTTCCCTGCACAGTGGGCGCCACACAAGTTTTATATTTTTAATTTTTTTGATGGCATTTGGTCCTGATTGGGGTGGGCATCGACAACCCTTGCCAGCCCAGCCTACCAGGAAGAAGCTTTGGTTGCATCTCCCTCAGCTGTTGGGAGAGAGCAGTCGTGACTTTCCCAAGCAGATGGGAAAATGATGTGTCATGAGCACTGGATCCAGACATTCAGTATGACTGTTAAGGCCAAATCCGTGAGGACCCATTTCTTTGCTATGCCCATCAAGCCCAGAGCGCCAGTCCCATTTAATTCATCTTCATTTTCTTCCTTTTCTGAAAGAAAATCTCAAAATCATTCGGAAACTATTGTTTTAACAGACATCTGATAAATCAAACATTGTAAGGGGAGATCACTGCTGTTCCCTGAGCCAAACACATTCCTGTATTTCCTGGCCAAGGGTGGTGATCATCAGGACAAGCATTACGTGAAGTCAGCGAACAGTGAGAGGGTCTCCATCTGGAGTCATTCTATAGCATTAGAACAGTTCTCCTCCAGCAGCAGCCACTGCCTGCTAGTATAAAAATACTTGGGAGAAAAAGCAATAAATTTTATTATGTTGGTAGGGGGAAAAAAACTCTATTCAAGTCTTCCATTAACTTTTATGAATATCTCTAGAGAGATTTATTTTTATAACAACATTAATGCAAAGGAATAAACCCCAAGTTTCCTGACACTTGCAATTATGATTTCTCACTAGAGGCAAGTCCAGAGTGTTTGTGACCAAGCCCTGCTCACCTTGTTCACATGAAGAGCAGCCCTGGAAGCCCAAGCCTGGCTACAAGAGGAGGGATGGCCCCATCGCTGCCACTCACAGGACCCGTGCTCATATTTTGGTGCTGCTGCAGGCTGCCTGAATGATCTTCTCCACATCACTAGTTTGTTCCAGGGATGTTCAAATCTGATCCTGGAGTACCACCAAGTGCTGAAGTAACCAGTCCCACTTCAGATCCTAGCTTTCAATAAACAGAGGTCATGTTCTGCCTGAAAGCTTAATATCTCTACCCAATTAATACTATGTGCCCTCTTCTGACTTTGGTAATTCTCAGCATTCCCACTGCCCATCCAAATGTTAGCCCCTTTCAAAACCCACCACATTGCTGTCCTTCACCATCTCCTGCAGTGACAAGCTCCTTAGTCTGGACCCATCACGTATAAAAATACTTCCTCTTATCTGTTTTGAATTTACCACCTTCTAATTTCATTGAATGCCCCTTTGTCTTAAGACACCAATCTGTTTTCTCTATTTTTTTATTTTCCTTCCCCTCTTAAAACTAAAGTTACATTGTGAAAGGAGGAAGAGAAAAACAAAACAAAACACCCCCCTTCCACTCTTCCCCCCAAAAAATAAAATTAAAAAAAGCATCCCAGGAAATTGTTGGAATAAATAATTATTATACTTCATGGTGTGGCCTTGCTGCTCTCTGCAGATGTTGCAAACAAAACCGGTGCGATGTTGAGCTGTTGGGACAGTGGCACCACATGCGAGATGTACACATGTGGTCCCAGTAGCCCAGAGGGCAGGTGCTGGGGAGCAGAGAAATGGAGGCACTGGCTGAAGCTGTGCCCATGGGCACCAGTAGCAGCAACATCTCCAACACTGCCAGAACCTGAGCTGGAAATTTTTGCATTTGAGTGAGGCTGTGACAGGCAAATCCTAAGACATTTCATCATTGCACCTCCCACCCAACCATCATTACTGAAGAGAAGAAGGTCTCTCCCTGCCCAAGCATATTTTGTTGTTTGCAAGTTGAACTTTCATTAACCCAATAGGAAACAACGAAAATATCACTGTGATGGGTAAAAGCCCCTCAGCAGGCTTCCAACAACAGTTGGGAAGCAGCCGGATGGTCAGGGTGTCTGCAAGGCTGTTGTGGCAGGTGGCTCCTGCCCTGTGCAGCTCTGGGGATGTGCTTTACACTGCAGCTACTGCACGATGTGAAACAGAAGATCCCCAGCCCCCTCCCTAGACACAGTTCCATCCTGCATAATGTTTGCTTTCAGTTGCATTTTTAAAGCAGGGTTGGTTTCTCTGTTGAGACATCACCCAGTGACTGTGCAGCTCCTACTGGGAAGGTCTGAGAAGCCCACAGAAGCCAAGTGACATGGGCCAGCACACATAGGAGCACTGGGACCAGATTCAGTATTGGTGCAAGCAAGGTGATCCTACTGGTCCCTGGTGGGCTTTTACAGTCCAAGGAGATGAGTGAATGATACCTGCTCGGCCTTGGCAGCAGACACTGGCCACCCAGTCCACCATCCAACTACTGACCAACAATGTGGCCATGAAATACCAAAACACTTGAAGTAACAGCAGTAAGCCAACAGAGAGCACTGAGAGTTTTTGAACAGCCCTGAGGGAAACAGGGCTGCTCACTTCTTGTTTCATTCTGGCTGCAGACTTGGACTTATGACAGCACACTGACTTATACTAGGACCACAACATTCTTCGCTACCATGAGAGCCTGCTTGCCTTATGTCTTCTGCCTTCCTTTAAACCACTGGAATGACAAAAGCTCAAATTCTGCCTTGCAGCTTCTGGAGCCATTTCCCAAGAGACCCTTTTCAGCAACTTAAGCAGTTGCATCCTCCCATTATCCAGAGACTCCCAAATACCTGACCAAGAAGAAGATCTGGTACCACAGGGGCTTGTTATTCCCTGAGGAACAGCCCAGGCCTTCACAGTTCTGGTGTTGACACTGGAGCACCAACTACCATCAGCTCTTGTCCGCAGTCTAGGGCCACTGGGCCCATGAAATAATCACAGCCCTTCTGCCTGCTTCACCCAACATGTCAGCAAGCAGCTCTTGGTGAGGAAGGCCAGGACACCGGGGCCAGAAGCAGTAGCTTCTCACCCATCCCTGGCTGAAACAAGGAGCATGGCTGGCTCTTCTTCAGGGCTCAGACCAGAAACTTCAGCTCACCCTTCCCTCCCTCAAAACAGAGGTGTACCGCTTTGGCTTCTCATCCAGGTTGACATCATTTAGACTTTCCAAAGGTCCTAAGCAGCTTTGAAGGGTTCAGAGCAAAGCTTGCAGTGAACAAGCACAGTGTAACTGGCCTGTTCAGGTACTTGTAAATTAGGAGAAAAAAATCCCACAATTGTCTCAGGACATTTAGGTCCCCTAAAGTGAAGACAAAGCTCCCTTTGCTGGATTGGCAGGCACGTGTCCTTTCTGGGGAAAGAGAATCTGCCTTCTCGCTTTACTTCCAGTGATGGAAGTCCCAGAGGGCAGGACGTGCGGTGCATGAGAACAGCACACGTTCTGCTCGGCACAGCATGCTGGGACTGTCCCTCACTGCAGGGAGGAAAACAACTCAAGGCAGCTCCATTTTAACTTCAGGAAGATTAGTATTTCAGGCAGGATAATTTTTTCAACTGGTTGTCACATGCCTGTGCAGCTCCTGCTCCCAGCTCCATGTACCATCAGTAAATTGTCCAACTCCAGGGGAACATCAGAGTCCAGGTACAACGAATCTATCGAACCTATCTCTTTCTCCAGATCAGTGGAAGTTTGGGTTTGTTTTTTTTTTTGGGGGGGGGGGGGGGGGGGTGTGAGTGCTGTTTCCCCCAGGCTAGGGCAGCAGGCTCAGCCCGGAGCTGGGCTCCCTGCACCGTCCGCGGTACCCGACTGCCCTCTACCCGAAAGTGTGGGACATACAAGTGCGGCTCGCTCAGCCGTCGGCCCTTTCCCACCCCTTGCAAAGCAACGCTGTCAACTACAAAAAAACATAAGAATAATCGCATCCAGCCTTCAGGACATACCCTCTTTATTTTCTCAAGACTCATGCCACAATGCCCCGAGTAAGGAAAATGTGCCATTGCAAATGTTTATAACATCTGATTTAGTGTTACGCAGTTTCTCCCAGCCATAAACCAGAACAAATACTCCCAAGATTTATTACATCCTTCCCTCCAGGGCTTAAGCAATTGTACTTGATTAATTCAGCAGTTAAACAGCACTGAGCAGAAGCATGATAATTTTGTATCCAGGATTCCTGAGTTACATATTGTTTTCCACAAGGATTTAGGTCTAAAACCAGAAAGATGAATCTTTAAATATGTACCTATCCATATGCACGGGATAATATGCAATGGATGTTTCCTCCCAGCAGAGAGATGCTGAGCTAAGTTTCTTCTTGTTCCATAACATTAAGAATTCTTCATCACTTTCTGAGGCAGTAAATACCTATTCCTCAGCTTACATTCTGAATAGGACAAGTATTTGCAAACTTGCCTTACTACAGTGTAATTTTAAGTGAAAGAAACATTTCTGCAGTACCAATATTAACAGGAGTTAACAGCAAGTGAGACCTTCTGGTGCATTTCTCCTGTAAACACAAGTAGTGTGAAAAAACTTCCTTTTGCCTGAACCGTCCACACAAATACCCAGATTTGATCCAATTCTACTTCCTTGTAAATCTATGGAGTTTTGAAAATTTTTTATTTCCTATCCCTGCATGAGAGCCTCACAGCAGAGTCTCCACAAGGAAAGATTCCATCATGTTGGTAGCACGCTGGTGTCAGAGAACACCAGGTAACCCTCCAGAAAAGCGTTGGAAAAACAAAGACCAAGAGTTTTTTCCACATTTGCTCAGGAGTTCTTAGGATAGGTCTATCCACATAACAAGAGTTCTTCAAATGCCAGCTAGGAAACATGAAAAGGAGCAGGAAGAAAGCAGGGAGCCTTTCTGCTTCATAGTGTCTCTTAGAGTCCCATTCTGCCCTGAGAGACCCGTGTGTCCAGGAAAGGGTGTAAACCACGGAAGAAAGCAAACCTTTTGCATATAGTTAATTAATTAATGGAAGCAGAACCAGAAAGGAGTATTTGTGGACAGCATATTGGCCTTAAAGTGCTAGAGCAATTGAAAATAGCAGGCCTACTTTATATCATCACTGCAGTGAGCAGTGATGACTGGGTAGGGTGTACTTCAGTTAACCATAATGTACAGAATTTATTGCAAATTAAACTGTTTACTGTACGAGGCAATCTCCAAGTACTGACATGCTCACTGATTTTTCAAGTATTAAAAAACCATCAAAATAATATTAATTGAATGCTCCCTATGCCCTCCCATACCCTCAAAGACATTTACACATCTTCAAGTAACCAAGAAAAATGGCCTAGGTTGTTTGAATCTGCTGGGCCATTATTGTTCTACAATACCCCCTGGAAAACGCATGTTAACAGCGCTTTGACAATAATGTATTTGAAGCTACAAAAAAAATCGTGGAGTGTATAGACTAGTGCTTCAATTCATTTAAAATATGGCCTAGCATTTGTCTTGGCTGCATTAACAAGGTCTGTTTTACCAATACATTTGTATTTATGATGACTAAGGGCAGATTATAGTTGTTAAAATTTGTCCTCCTGACATGAAAACACTACTTTGTCATTAATACATTTTGTAGCATAAACTATGATGTCAGGTCAATGTAAAGGGTAAAAACTTTCCTAAAGTATGCACACATCATTTTTTTAAAGCTATTGAGCCTAATGGAATAACAAAGGTCATAATAACAAACCATTACAGCTTTGGTCTTGGCAACTATGTCCACAGAAGAATCCTCCAAGAAACAATCATCATTTCTCCAATGTTATGGCATTAGGACGACAGGAATGGTTCACAAATGAGTCATGTGAGCCCAGAAACGCAGTAGCTATGTGAAAGCTGAGCAATCAATTATTCATTTGTTTACTGAGAGCTTTCTCAGCTGACATTAACCAGAACTTCTTAAAAAGAAGAACTTTACAGCTGTCTTTGGCTGTCCCATGAGGCTGCGCTCAGAGGCTGAAAAGATTGCTTAATTTCTTTGTAAGTAATATGGTATTTTTATTGAAATAAACAACAATATATGGACTCATTAGCTGGGTTCAACCTGAGGCCCTGCAGGTGTCAAAATATCAAAGATACAGTCTTGGGTTGATGATGAGATGGAAGAACAGGGCAGGGGAGAGGATATTCAAGCAGCCAAAATCTAGCTCTTGCTCCAAATGCAGTACATGAAATCCCAACTAAGTTTTCCTGTGTATGGAGTATTGAACATACATATAAACATTTTTTTGTATTAATATGCATAATTCATCTGCTCTGATTAAATTACATTTTTCTCATTTCTTAGTGATTGTTTACCCCAGACTCT